GGGCTCATATCTTTTTCATAGTAATAGGATGATTCCAATGAGTTTGCCAATGTAACATCTTTCAGATATGAATCTTTCTAAATTAGAAAGAAAGAAAATTGTATCAATATCTCAGTTTTAAGGGAAAATTGCAGCAACGGTCATTAATCTTTTCGTTTTTTGCAGACTTTATCCTAACTTTTATCTTGTGTTAGCGAAGGCTCCTAACATTTCATAAATATGCACCTAAAAACCGTTAGTTGATCGGGAAAATTCCTTGAACTATCTGCTACCTTGACAATTTTATTGGATGTTGATACGTTTTTTGACGATGTTTTGGACAGTGTTTTGAACGATTTTATTGAATATTGATTTCTTAATTTTTTTGATCAACTGACAGTGTTTTGAACGATTTTCGCCTAGATGATCTCAGGCGAATATTTATGAAAGGTTTTGAACCTCCGTTGACACAAAAAGAAGGTTAGGGTAAAGTCCACAATTTTCCCCAATGTTAATTCAAACTTAGATTTGATTCAACTTCATGTTCTGAAAAATGTTTACCATCAGGAAATAGGAAAAAAATGGGTGTGACATATATTTCTATTATTATGAAATCTATAAATGAAGTAGTTAATGACAGGTTACCATTATCCTTCTCGTAGTGACAAATCTACTATATGTTTTTAAGAAAAGGAATTTGTTCATTTTCGAGGTCTCAAAGGGTGTAGAAACACATAAAAACTCCTGAATGGAAATGAAAAAGAGATATAACTCTAGTTCCTTCGGAATCGTTAATCAATCCTATTTTTCGATCAGGGTAGATGACAATTTAATCCCATTTTTACCATTATTTTCATATTCGTAATAGTGCGAAAAGAATGTTCAGCTCCAAGTTGTTCAAGAATAGTGGCTTTAAGTTTATTGGCCCTTTGATTTAAGATTAGTCAATTTCATTTCTTGATAGGGTAGGAAAGGAATATGACTCAATGGTAAAGTGTCATCTTCACGTAGTGACAGCTATCAGTTCAAGTCTGATTTTCTCTAAACCTAATGTGAGTTATTCTATTTGAATTTTCTCCCCCATTGTGATTTAATGAGAATGGATATGGATAAGAGGCTCGTGGGTTTGACATAAGGGGATTAAGGATGACTATATTTGTGGAAGCGAACTTAGGCGAATATGAAGCTCATGGATACAAGTTATACCTTGAAGTGAAAGACAATTTTGAATCTGCTTTATTTACAAATAAGAAATCTATAAGTCATGCAACTATGAATCTCATGGAGAGTTTCATCCTGGCTTAGGATGAACTTCAACAGCATGCTTAACACATGTAAGTCAGACGAGAAGTGGTGATTTTGGTGACAAACGTGTGAGTAATGAATGCGTAAGAACATTCCATTGGGAGGGGAAAAATAGATGGAAACAACTACTCATACTCCGTAGGCTAAGGAGCAAAAGGAGAAATTTGCTCGAAAAAGAGATTGTGTCTAATTAGCTAGTTGGTGAGGCAATTGCTTACCAAAGCAATCATCAGTCGTTGATCCAAGAGGATGATAAGTCACAATGGGATAGGGATACAGCTTAGACTCATACAAGAATCAATAGTGGGGAATTTTTTGCAATGAGGGAAAAGCTCTGAAAGTTACTAATTCGACCCTAAAATCACCTAGAGGTGGGCGAATAGGTGAAAACGACGATTAATAAAGCAATAAATAACTCAAGAATTGTTGACGGTGAAACCCAACTGGGTAAAAATTTCGGGACTAAGTTAGTAACCTTCACTATAGACAATGATGAATTACAATACGATCCAGCATAGAAAATTCCACTAGACTGTTGGTCTATTTCGTACAATCTTCAAGACTCTCTGGAACGTACTTCACTTATACATGTTCCTGATCTTCTAAAATCTTTTGTCTCCTGTGCCTTGTTCTTGTACTCTTCATGTGCTGCTAGTCCAACCTCCCTCAATTCTTCAGCAATCTCTGAATCTTCTTAAGAAATTACCTTCTTGTATGTGCATAGGAAGTTGGTGTTTTGGATTCTATAGATTTGATGTTTTTCCCAAAGTGTGGTTGTATGAACTCAATAATCAATGGATGAATCAAAGGTTTGAATATGTTCTTGAATCTTTGAATGATGACATGGAGAAGACATACAATGAACAACCACCACTAAAAAAATTGACAGAGGTTTGGGGGGGGGGTGTGTGTGTGTGTGTGTGTGTGTGTGTGTGTGTATTTAGTAGAAGATAATTAGGTAGCATGGGTCAGATAAAACTCTTGAAAAACACTAACTAGGGTTTTGCATGTAACATCGTCACTCGAGAGAGATCTCAGCGACACTCACTCGAGAGACAGAGTTTCTATTTTTCTTGTTCGACAATGAGATGGGTGGTAAGTGTGTTTCTACATAGTTATTTAGTCCACAAAACATGATTAATTGTTGATAAAATTAGTTGACTGACTTAATTCTATGCAATTATATTTTGTAGGGCCATATTGATGGATATGATATAACTCAAGAGAAAAGATGCGAAAAGGGTAAAAACAAAAGAAACGAAAGTTCAAAGACCAAAATGCAAATAGCTAAAAGATGATCGAAAAGCATAAAAAAGGATGTGAAAGAGTTAAGAACAAATTTAGTGAGGACTTGAAGTTTTGGGAGAAGAAAAAAAGAGAAAGGATCTAAAAGAAATAAGAATTAAATTCGAGGATCAAAATGCAACATTCGAAAATTTTTATAACTGGGCGACAACCCAGCTATTTTGAATGGGTGACTGCCCAACATCAAGAAACAATTACCGGGGCGAGTCGTGGTGAAAAAAAAATTGATTCCCTATTCTGATTGAAATTCTTATGGTAACAAATCTGGGAAGGTATTTGACAACCCTAAAGCAGTCCCTAAGCATTCACCGTGCATTCTAACATATTCTCAAAGATTTTAAAAGCATAGAAAGAGGCAAAAAAACACAAAGAACAACTCGAAGACATGAAGATTCAATTCAACAATTAATTGGGTGATGTCACTTCTTCAAAATTCGTTTTGTTTTCTTACCTTCGCCATGCTAGGCTAGATTTCTATGTACTAGGAAATCGATGAACCTTGTGATATAAATTTTTTGATTTATTGTTTTACAATATTGACATCAAAACAAGTTAGGGAATTTTTTGAATGGTTTATATACACTTAAATTCTTCCATGATTATGTGCATATAATTGTGTGTGTGTGATGACTTATTTCATGCATTCGATAGAAGGAGAATAAGTTCAATAGGGTATAAATCATAGTAGGGTCTGATAGAGGATAGAGATATATCTCTATGCCTTGCGTGAATCTTTAAGTGTTCACAAAACCTCATGTATTCTTATATGTTTGCACCCATCACAGAGATATAGGTTGGTGGTATATGAGAGTAGGTTCAATATTACTCGAGAGAGATTGTTGGATACATTTAGAAGTATTGATTTTTCAAAAATTCAACATGTCAAATTGTGGAACTAAGGTTAAAAGTGAGCATTGCTTCGAAATTCGTGATCCTAGTGCGCTTAATATTCTTTGAGTACATCAATTTGCATTCAACACATTCACTTTGCATTTAGTTCATTCAAATCATATATATTTGCATATTTAGTCTTAAGTAGGGTTAAATTTAGTTACAATAGATCAAGTTTGACAATTCGGTTTCGATTAAGGTCGAAATAGGTAAAATGAAACTATTTAATCTCTGTGGGGCGACATTCAGACTCAATTTTCTACTTTATTACTTGTTGCGAACCGTACACTTGCGGATACAATTCGAAATCATTATTTCATGAACAATGGGCGATAGGCTGGCCTAAATTCGGCGGCTCTTTCTTCTTTGTTCCAAACTCAAACCCTAACTTCCTAATTGATTTTGTCTAATATTGCAAGTACTTTTTGACTTTTACAGTTTTATATCTTAGTCCTTTTGTCTTACAGAATTGTCGATACAACTAAATCCTAACGAGCTCAATGGAGCAAAGTCGCATAGAAGCAGAAGGCCTATAGGTCGTGAACTTCTTTTCTTGGAGAAGAAGCAAGGATGGTATCTGGGGAATAAACATCGACTAACCATTGTAAGATAGAGAGAGTCTTCTTTTAGGGCCTCTTTTAGATGCGGTTTTACTTTTCTTTGTTTCGAAAAGTAAGGCAATATTCCAAGAAAAGCTTCAGTTATTGTGAGGAATTGTGTTGAGTATGGAAAAATGGTTGGATTCCCCTGTTTCACCTCAAAGAACATACTTCGACTTGGTTTTCTACTATAAGGTGTTTCAAGCTTTCTTGGGAAAAGCCACAAAATCACTGGTTCTTCTATTTGGTTTTTATTACAGATTTGCAAGGTTTGGGGGAAGAAGATGAAGTGGGGGTGGGGAGGAAAATAAAGTTTTAAAGATTTGGGATCGTGCTGGGTATGTATAAAAAAATTTGGGTATAATTTGCAAAGAAAAATAAAATGTTTGAGATCGAAATTGCAAATATTCGTTTTAATTTTGGTTTTTAACAGTTAGACTAGCGGAATTCAACGATAAGCAATTTTCCGCACGTAAAAGGTTATATTTCGCACTAACGATTTCAAATAGGGACATTTATCTATCACCTTACTCGAGTTTTCTCAACTTTCTCATCATTTATTTTTCTCACCACTATTCCATTATTTATCACTTTACTGTATACCATATAATTTGAAAGTCAAATGTGTATTGTTGGAAAATAAATACATAAGTTGATTGTGTTCAACTTTGAAGAAATAGACATTGTGGCACGAAAAGAAACCTGAAAACCATTAAAAGAATTCCACCAAAAAACTGAATATTTTGCAATTAAAATTCTGCTCAACCACGCCATGTAAAAGTCTTAACCGTTTGAGAGAGAGAGGAAGAGCAAATGCATTACACTTCCATATTATTCATAAAGCATCAAGACTTGAATGCAGAGTGCGATATCTCAAAAAAAATTATTAGATACAAACTTAATTTATTTAATTTCTCAAAATATCTGAAAGGTATCAGTTGAGCAGTGTTTTAGTTACAAATAATGCGTTCTCATTTGAATTATCCGTATACTGCAACTGCATAAAGCATATGGCTTGGAAACTAATTCCACAGTAAAGAAACATTTTACATAAAAACAAAATAAACTATCTGAATGCATGCAGCTAGATGAAGTTGGATTAAGGTGGGTAATTTGAAAAATGCAGAACAGACAGCCTGGAATTTCTCGAATGATATTATCCTAAAGTTGCTCGATTCTCCCACAAATGATAATGCCCGTCTTGTACTCTGTTGCTTTCCTTAATAGCACAAGCCTATGGTAGCGTACCTGGTAATGCACATATAAGAAGGTATTCATCTTGGTACGACCAAACTATCTGCTGTTTCACTTCCAGAATATTGCGTATAAGAATCAGGCAGAGAAAAATACACGCCAGGCTGATTAAACTGACTGACTTCTGCATTGCTGGAATTGAGAAATGGTGGTTGTCTAGGCTGAGGAATTTTGTGGTTTTCAGTAAGCATTTTCACAACAAGGGACATGGATGGACGAAGTTCTGCAGAGGCCTGTACACAGATTAAACCTATTTGAAGTACTCTTAACGCCTCGTGTTCTTGAAACTTATTTTCTAACGACTGATCGACTGCTTCACTTAATTTTCCTGCCCTATAGAGGTTCCATACCTACCAAAGCAGGCAAGAAAAATTATCACGAATTTCATCAATTGCCTGTCTGGCTAAGATTACGTAAGACTTTTACTGGAAAATCCCGAAAAAGGAATTTATGAAAACCTCAAAACACGTTTGGCATAAAATGCAACAAAGTACCTTTTGTAAGATGGAGTGAGAGTTCAGAGATAAGGCGTAATTCTTTGTGCCAAGGACAACTTCAATAACAAGAACTCCAAAACTATAAACGTCCACTTTTTCTGTCAATTTTCCACGAACCATGTACTCTGGAGCCATGTAGCCGCTGCATATAAAATGAATTAATTTTTCATCCAGAAGTATGGATGATTAGTAATGAGAACAGATTAAACAGACGAAATGCTGAATGTACAGTGTGCCAGCTATAGCAGTGCTGATATGAGTCATGTCATCTGGAAATAATCTAGCAAGACCAAAATCAGCAATCTTTGGCGCGAGGTCCTCGTCTAACAATACATTGCTCAATTTTATGTCTCTGTGTATGATCCTCAACTTAGATTCTTCGTGAAGATAAGCCAAACCCTCAGCAATACCCAATACGATTTTGTACCGTTCTTCCCAACTTAGCCGGGAACGTCTTTTCTATCTGATTCAAGTCAATGAAGTCATCACAGGAACATTAGATGATAACGACAGGAACATTAGATGATGT